CTTCCGATAGCGAAGAAAGTGACAGAGGTTATTGAAAACGAAAAAATTTCGTTTGACAAATTAGTCGGTGTTCTCGACACAGCAATTATAGGACTGAACAGCGGATCTTTGTAACTGAACAAGAAATTGTGTCTGTTTTAATAGAATTAAAGAGAAAGTATTATCACATGAAACGAAGCAAACTTAAACAACTTACATTGAAAGAAATGTTTAATAAAGTAAACAAATAAATATTAAAGCTTTTTTCTTTTGCAAATTTTGATACCCTTTAGATCATAATTGTTCTTTATTTCATAAATTACGGTTTCATATTTTTAATTTTAGAATTTCTGCATGCCATCTTACAAGATTTAAACTGATCATCTATAATCCGGAATCGCCGAAGTCCCGACAAGTCCGGATTAACGACTTTTGACTGTATATATATATATATATAAGTAACAGAGTGTATATATATATATATATCTACACAATCTGTTACCTGGATCGGAGAGCTTAATTTTATAACATGTAATTGTGCAACTCCCTTTTGCATTGCAATTGGCTGCACAAACCGTATATAAATGTATATACCCACTCTGTTACCTGGCTCGGAGAGCTTACTTTTTTTATTTTATATGTTAGTAAAATGTTCATTTTTTGCTTTAAAAATGATAGAATGATGCGGTTTTAGTTCCGGTTAAGGTTTTTATATCTTTAGTTAGTATGCATGCAATAGTTGCATTGCAATTGGCTGCACCAACCGTATATAAATGTATATACCCACTCTGTTACCTGGCTCGGAGAGCTTACTTTTTTTATTCTTATATGTTAGTAAAATGTTCATTTTTTGCTTTAAAAATGATTGAATGATGCGGTTTTAGTTCCGGTTAAGGTTTTTATGTCTTTAGTTAGTATGCAATCAATAGTTGTAGAATTATCAACAATTTAACAGTTTAAGTCGCAAGTTAAGCTTAATGAACCACTATTTGTGTACACATGAAACTTGGTAGAATAGTGAATTAAGTCAGTTCCTGCACCTTCAGTGTCTTTTTGCGTAATGGAATCAAAAGTAAACTTTCAGTTTTGTGCACTGGAAAATCTGCCTTCTTACACGCTGGCCGAATTGCTATTTTTGCTTATTAAGTCTAATTTTAATTGTAAATCTTTTTAAAACTGTTTTAACTGTATTTGGTGTTTTGTGTTTTTATGTCTTTTACAATTTTTAATGAAGGTGTTTTGAGTTTTTATGTATTTTTGCTTTGCTGTAAAGTAAGAACTGAATTAATTGAATGAGAAATATACCTCTATACAAATTCGAGGAAATAAGTTCAAATGAAATGCTGCCCAAAATGTGTATTATTTAATAGGCCATACAAGGAAGGCATGTAGTGACAACATCAGATTTTTTATCATTTGTAGAGCAAAACTTATATGTTATGATTATATAAATGTTATCCCATCTCTTTTAATGGTCATTAAAAGAAACAATGTAAAAAATCTGATGTGTACACCACGACTTCCTTGTAGGGAATATTAAATTATATACATTTTTTCCTTTATTTCATTTAAACTTATTTCCTCGAATTTCATTAGAGATATATTTCTCATTCAGTTAATTCAGTCTAAATTCGCAGCAAGGCAAATATACTGTAATTTCTGGAAGAAAGGCCGCATCAGCGTAAACGCTGCACTCGAGAAAAATGACGGGGAAAAAATTAAAATTACACATAAGCACCGCATCAGCATAAAGGCCGCAATAGATTAAATTGCGCATGACATCATCGTGGGCCGTATAGATGCAAAATCTCAACTTGTGTCTTGATATATGACATATCAGTTAAGAAAAATGCATGAAATGAAACTGTAACTCACAAATAAATTAAAGGTAAGAAATGTTAAATATATTTGCGTTCATGAATATATTTATATTTACCCAACTAAAGAAGTCCATATTTGTAATACTCAGACTATGTCATAAAAATGTTTCAACAACGAAATATTAAATTTGGATCACAAAAGGAAATTTAAAATTTTACTTACAAAAGGAATTACAGCAAACTATACATCATATGAAGCCATCAAAATCTGATTCTTCACTATCTGAATTAAAAAGATTTGGTAAATCTTGATCTAAGTCTTCCAGATCGTCACATTCATCCTCTTGGTTTACAGTCTCTTTATCTAAGGATTTAATTTCAGCTTCTTTGAAGCCTGCTATTATTGACGGTGTTTTTACCGATTTCCACACACTTCCTACCCACTTGCAACTTCTTCATAAGATGCTCTACGCATTTTACCGCTTTTGGTATACATATGCAATCCTTCACTCATCCAACACTCCCACCGCTTTTGGACTTCAGCTTTGAAAGATTTATTACCTGACAAATCTAATGATTGTAAGATTTTTGTCAAACCACCAGGAAATATTGCTATGGTTGTAGACAATTTTTGACATCTGGTTTTCACTGACTCAAGTAAATGAGCACGCATGGAATCCATTATCAATAACCCTTTTGGTTGGAAAAAAGATCCCTTACAACACTGCCAAACTTTTTGTAGCCACTCATGCATGAGTGTTTCGCACATCCAGCCGTTCTCGTTTGCACAAATTATTACGTCATTAGGAAAATCTCCCTTCGGAATAGTTTTCTGTTTAAAAATGATCATCGGCTTTAGCTTGTCATCGTTTGCGGCACAAGCTAATGCACATGTAAATGACGTTCTTTCACGCCCCATCGTAAGCACAGATACAGTTTTTGCACCAGTTTCATCAACAGTTCTGTTTACAGGAGAGTAGAAAGCTAACGACGTTTCATCCATTTATTATCTGTGACCGAAGAAGTTTTTTTTTTTTTTTTTTGTCAATAATATCTGTCACATATTTTAGAAAAGATGCCTTTCATCCTGCCATTCCATTGGTAATTGCTGCCCGACTGTTGTTCTAGTACGCACAGAAATATTTTTTCTTTTCATAAATCTGCTACACCAGCAAGGTTGAAATCATTTATGTTCATTTGTTTTGCTATAAATTTTGCTTGTAAGCGAATTTTTACAGTCGAAATTGCCATTCCCTTTCCTCGTTGCTCCTTTATCCAGTTTGCAAGGTCATTCTCTAGATTCAGCCACCTTACAGTACCACTTCTTTTGGCTCGTTTCTGTTGTAGCATATTTTTAAGTTCTTCTTTTTCAGTTCTCCAACGTCGAATACATCTCTCGTCCACTTCAAACTCTTCGAGCTGCTGCTCTATTTCCAATTTGTTCAGCACGTGAAATTACATTAAGCTTAAAACCAGCAGTATAGCTTCTGTGCGGTTTAGGTGCCATTTTCATCCAACAAGTACTTGTACCCAAACTGATGGGATCTGTATCTGGCAGAATGCCAAGAAAATTCGATTCATGCTGAAGGGGAAATATGTCAGAGTTCGTTATTGCGAAGCAGGTGGAGTCGTGTCCACCTTTGAAAAAAAAAAAAATGCAGAAAAGGCAGGGGTGGGGAGAGGATGGGTCCTGGAAGATTCATCGAATGGCAGAGGAGAGAGACTATTCAAAATGATGAGAAGAATGCTGATTTGAAAGGGGGAAGAATGTTATTGTTCTGAGATCCCATTTAGGGTGAATAAGGCATGTAGGTCCGTTCAAGGGAAAAAATGTAAATAAAATAACGTTCGCAAAAAGCAACTCAGTGGTCTTTTGTGTGGGAACAGCACCAGTCTATGTACAATGACAAGGCCATCCAAACTATGAACAATGACAAAGTTATTCTAACTATGTACAATGACAATCATAGGAAATCAATAGGAAATATTTTATTTTTAGTGCACCTAAACCCCGCACCCGCTGAAAATTTAAGTTTTAAACACTTAAACACCGCGACATTTCTTTCTGAAATTACGGTACATAAAACCTAAAAATATATTTATTAAAAATTAAAAGATGTATGAAAAGTGTAAAACACCAAATACAATTAAAACGATTAAAAGTACAATTTCTATGGAAAAACAAGCAGTTTCGCCAGCGGAAAGGCAGATTTTTTCTTGTGCAAAGCTGAAAGTTTATTTTTGGTGCCACTTGGCAAAAAGGCACTGAAGGTGCAGAAGCTGACTTAATTCACTATTCTGCTGAGTTTCAAGTGTAAACAAATATGGCTGTTAGGGTAAAAAAAATAGGCTTTGTCGCACTTAAATAACTTTTAAATTGTTGATAATTCTACGACTATTGAATGTAGGTTAACTAAAAGTTTAAGAACCTTAACCAGAACATAAGAACAACTTAATTCAATCATTTTTAAAGCAAAAAGTGCACAATTTACCTGCATATATACTCACTCTGTTATATATATATATATACTTTTGGTGCAGCTGATTGCAACAAACCAATCCTAGGAGGTGCACAACTACATGCTATAGCAGTCCTGTTTACAAAATTTCAATGTTGTGGGGCTACTTGCTTTTGAGTTATGCGAGATACATACATATATACGTACATACGCACAGATGTCATGAAAAAATCGCTTCTGAATCCATTTTAAATCCTTTTTGAAACCTGTTTTGGGGAAAAAGAGTCCTTTATTCTGTCCTTATGTACAGATGTCATGCAAAAACATTGTTAAATTGCATTTGATAGTGGTCAAAATGCATATTTTCATTGAAATATGACACCCAAAATTTTCAAAATTACAACACTTCCTGCACTTCGTACAAGGAAGTGAAAAATGTATGAGGAAGGAAAAAGTAGAATGAACTCCCCCCCACCCTCTGTTTTCTGCTTTGTATAGGAACATAGCTCCAACTTTTTACTTTAAGAAGGCAGATGAAAGAAAAAATGCCAGTAAAATTTAAAATGATAAATGCATAAATATTTTAGTAATTACTAAATATTTATGCATTTTTAACACCATAGTAATTTTTGCTTCCATATGCATAGTTTTATAGTAAATTCCAGAGGAGGGAAAAAATGTTTTGTACAGTGTATGGATATAATTTTATGATGATTTTTAAAGTGTATTTTATTGATTTCAGTTAATAAGTATATTTCCTGATCTGCTTCCATCAAATTCTTCATTTGCTCGGATAAATCCTCCTCTGCATGATATTGGTAATGTAAATGAGATGTGTTCATATGACTCGCAGGCTATTTCAGACTGTAGACAATTTTTGCTTAGCTATTTAGAGGGTGTTAGAAATTCTGCTGATTCTGCTGGATGCAAACTGGTATGTTTATTCTTTACTACGTTGAGTAATCTAAGTTATCAATGAATCATTGTTTAAGAAACAGTTATTAAATATAATTTTATAATTGAATATTTAATTTTTGCATTAAATTTGATTTTTAGTAATTTTTATAAAATGCATGACAAAATGTAAGCTAGAATAAATCTCTAATAAATAACTAACTTAATTAGCAATAGCTCTTTAAATTTCTTCATTAGATTTTGATGTGCCCCCTTCTCGCATTTGTAATGCATGAAAATTTCTGTCAACTGCATCATTTCTAGATTAATCCATACATATGACTTAATAACAGTGATGATGTTACTAATGCGGAACCTAAACCAAAACTTTGACATAACTAATTCGGAACATGAACTAAAAATTTCGAGAACTTAAACCTTTCTCTTAATAGACTGCCATATTGGATAATTGTGCAGTTTTGCTTCAGTTCTCTCATCATTAAGATGCTCGCTCACTAACAAGTCACTTATCTTCTGCTAGCTTTTGTCCATTGTTCTAAAAATATAATCCGTACAAGATTGTGGGATGCATAGCACATCTCCAATGATATCTTCTGAAAATATAATCCGTATAAAAGATAATCTGCAATGAAAAAATATATGTCCTAAGAATTAAATTATAAAGGAATAAAATTATGTGTGGGATTTATGGTTACATGTATCTCAAATATCATCTTTCTAGCTAAGCAGTAAAGCCCCTTGTAGTTATTACAATGTAAAGAACCATCGGCAGTCCATAGCAGCTTTCTCCAAGTCATCCTAGTTTGATTTGGTTTGGTTTATTAGATTACGGCAAAGCACTTGAGGGCTATCTGCCTTAAGGGAGGGATGCCTTCATGAAGACTTTTTAAGGGAAACTGGCTCGTATACACATTACACATGGGGAAAACCACAAAAACACCCATGCAGCCAGCCTGTTCGCGAGATTCGAACCTCTGACCAAACTACCAGTGTTCAGCGACATTACCGCTCGGTCACTGGTGGGCCCCAAGTCATCCTGTTACACATATATATAATAAATCCACTGGTGACTTGAGGATTAGAAGATAGCTGTTAACAATGAGCATTATTTATAATTACGTGGCAAGGCTTTAATGTGTAGATTCACCAGATGATATATTGTAGACAGAATCAATGAAGATAACACATTTATTTATTCATGAGCATTTTCAATAAGCATAAACATGTTCACGTATCATTTTAGGTGTGCTTATCATGCCTTCCATACTTTTATATAATGGGTTGCATTTTAGAACAGTGGACACAGCGGAATAATGTGTACACAAATGTTGTCAGTAGCAAGCAAGGTGAAGCAGGGGGAAGAAGGACATACAGTAGCTCAATTATTTATAAGCTCTGGATCTATTATCCAGCTGAATTTTGATTGGCTATGAGATAGCTACACTGCCGAGAAATTTTGACCCATTGCAGATGGTAGAAGGAGGGAGGGACATGTAAAAATCTAAAAAGAAAATTTAAAGGTCTAATTGCCAATAGTTAATAATTTTGTTATTGATTTATTTTTACATTTTATGTTTTACATATTCCCCCTTCAGTGAGAAAAAGCTTTGAAAGCCTTTTGAGAAAAGCATTATGATGTTAGCAAAGCAAGAGAAATGTGGTGGGTTTTCTTATATCTTAAAATATAAAACATATAAAAGTCTAATTTGGAAATATTACAGCATAAAATTAGAATGCAATTTGAAAGTCTCTGAAATGTAAGTTTGGAAAAGTTCTTTCAGTCCTTGAATAACATTCTTTAATAAATTTTAGAATTCTGGTGTTTTGAAAGTCTGTTCTAAAATCTATTCAGTGTATAATCCATATATTTGAATTATATATTCATGAAATCCTATAAAAATTAAAAATTATTTATTTAGTATAAAACAAAATTACACGTTCTTATTTGAAATCAATAGACAGTAATAAATACAACACAATAATTTAATAATAAAACTCTGATAAAAATGGGCATGTGTTCACCAAGCAAATCAGTGTGACTAGCTGCTGATGGCTGTGGGATGAATGCTTGTATACAATGACACATGTTACTTATAAAACGTAACTAGATTTTAGCATTTTTTAGTAAAATCAAAGCTTCAGTTTAGTAAATAATTTAAAATTTAAATAAAGAAATAAAATTTCTTTTACATCATGTACGGGTAATGAAAAATAAATATACAAAAATTAAAATTCAAGTTAAAATAAATAACTTGTGTAATCAAATTATGTCTTAGAAATTTAGTAAATGTAATTTTACACTACTTTAAAACAATGATTTTTAAGAAACCTTTTAATTAAAAAAAGCCAGATCTCGAGGGGGGAAAATCAAATTTGGAAGTATAATTGTCATAATTAAATTTAAAATCATCAGAGTTGTTTAGGGAAGGCCTTACTTAAAAAATTTATAACTATTTCTCATTAAATTTAACATAATTTGAAACAGCTTTATTGATATTATGATTTTTATTATTATTATAATATTTTTTTAAAATTAAAACTGGAAGACCTCACAGCTTTGTCTAAATACTAACTAACATATCCATCTTATGAGCAAATCCAAGTTAACAAATTGTTGTATGTATTTTCACCAATGGTTGAGGGGTGCTCGCAGCATCTACTAAAATGCCTCTGTTCCTTGTTTAAAGACAGTGCCTTTTTGAACTGCATTAAAAAATTTCATTTATTTAAAAAAATAAAAACGCACTCTATTATATAAAAAAATAAGAATAATTCAATGAAAAATTTCATTATTTCATAAGGGAGTAAAAATTTTCTCATAGTATATTCTGTAACATTCAATTACTTTTGACTTTCATTTATCATATTTTTATATTATCTGTATTGATTTCACTTCTTATTATATTACTCATAATCAGTTTCATTGTAATAATTCAAATTCTAAAATTATTAATATTTTTAATTAATTATATCATTACAGTATTCGCTATCAAAGTATTAAATATTTTGGTATATTATACTGAAAAAAATTGTATCGTATTCTACAAACCATATTTTCAAAAAACAGGTGATTCATTTAAAAATTTTTAACAATTGAAAATTTTTCAACATGAATTCAAATTATGATTATATATCTTAATGACGATCTCTAAAAGTAGTTTAAAAATTCTGAAAATTCATTACATAATTTTATTAAACATAATTATGAATAATTAAATTTTTTGATACTGTTATTGATTTTGTATTTATTTACTTTGCTATTTTTAATAGAATTGTTTCATTTCCCCATGCAACGCTGCCTGCGAAAAATTTGAAGAGAAAGCTACGCCGGAAAAATAAAAAATGCAGGACCACGAGCATTTAATAAATAGATATCTCGTAGTTGCTTTTGCTATCCAGAAAAATTGGGAAAGTGTGAGAATGTGCTCGTGCATAATAAAAAGTGTATAAAAGCTGGAGGGAAACATCTCAGTTCAGTTCTGTTGTTTAGCAGTTGTTTACTTATTGCTATTAATGATTGTAGCACATTTGCGGTGAAATCCAATTCTCTTTCTCTGTTTTGAATTAAGTTCTGTTGAGCGTTTTAGTAGTTTAAAATATAACTACTGTGAGGTATTACAATATTGTACGAATATCTCAGGAAATTTACCATTTTGTTTTATTTGTTTAACAATAATAAATTTTATTCCCTTTTCATTGGACTTGTGCATTCAATTCATTACAAACCTATATGCATTCAACAATACTATGAAATTTTAATTTTATATTTTCATCAAACAGTGCTACATTTAAAAAAAAAAATATAGTAACAAAACTACATTATGTGTTAAAATTTCAGAATAGAACCAATTGATAAATAAATTATTCATATCATTATGATTAGAGAAAGCAGAAAGGAAATATCATCTAGCACACAGTTCAAGCATAATTTCCACTCCTGTACCACTAAAAACGAACCTAATTTAATTGCATAAGAGCCAAAGGAAGCTACACAGTTCTGTGACCCTTCACAGCGTTTTTGAACATATCAGCAGATTACTTTTATTCTGTAAATGCTAGGCGTGAATATTTTTTTAAGAACTGGTAAGCATGGCAGAATGATGATAATTTTTTTTTTCACTTCTGAATACTGAGGAAGTGGTTTAATATAATTTCCATTCCGAGGATTAGAAGATGGCTAAGAAAGGCTTTAATACGTAGATTCACAAGATGACATAACAGAGACAGACTTTATGAAAACAACATATTTATTTATGCATGGGCATTCTTGATAGGCATAAACATATTCACATATCATTTTAGGTGCTTATCACAGCATCCACTCTTGTATATAACAGATTACATTTTAGAACATTGAATGAAACAGAAAATGAATATGCATGTTGTCAGCAGGAAGTGAGGCAAAGCAGGGGTGAAAAAAAGTGTCACAGCCTCCAGTGGAACGGTGCTTTGGTACACCAGGATACCTGGGCCGAAGGCCCTACCCCTTGTAGAACGTTCTTAACTTTGTGAATGTTGACAAGAAATAATCTATTCATTCTAGAATTTGGATAAGCTAAACATTAAGAAACTTCGTTAAAAAGATTAAACCAAATGATTAAAAAAATATTTTTTGAAAAGTGAGAAAAACTAGGGAATAATTGATTTGTAATATTTAAGGATAGATAATACACTAATAATAGAGGGTTAGACCAGGTCATCGAGCTGATGATCAAGTGGTGATTAATGAAGCATAAAGCCCAAAGTAGAAAGTAATTACTCCCTACTAGTGTATTCCATAAGTTGCTGCACAGTCTGGAACACAGTACGAAGTTTCTACGCAATATTAACATTCCGAAGAAACTGAATATATCCATGATGAGTTTGTCTAGTTTCTGGATGTTCGGGCTGGATAAGCATGAGAAAAGTCCATCAAACATGCTAGGCACAGAGGTTCGTCTATTCTTAACTTAATTGCTGCATTTGGTCCTACTAGTTGTCTGTGCTGCAGGTTTGTCTGTCCTACGTAGCTCAGGGAAATTCTCTGCTGATCCTTCAGGAGCAAGTTGCCGCTGTGGTCTTGGTTGTGTTTTCTTCGCAAATCTCGCCTAGTAAGTCTCACACCCACAAAAGCTGCTCACGTGGTCTTTGGCGCAAGTAAATGCAGCGTGGCTTTTCATTCATTTTTTTGGAGCGAGAGTATCCTATGATCCTGTCTTGACCTACGTGGGTTTCGATAAAATATCTAACAAAATTCAAATAAATGTGTCTGTTTATTTTCATGTCCAAACGTTCCAACACCCAGTGAAATGTAATGTGGAATTATGACTTCTGTTCATAGCTAAATTAGTTTCGAATTCCCTTTGGCCTCCTCGTCAGAATTTAGGGAAGAGAAAGCAAATTCTATCATCGTCCTTTTGTGGTGTTTTACCATGCTTAAAAATAATCACGCATAGGTTTCAGAAAATGAAAGTGATTGTGTGACTACGAGTGTAAACGAATTCTTCATGATAATGATATCCATAGCAAGAGATGCAGTTACACTGTAAAACTTACACTGAAGCGACAAAAGTCAAGGGATACCTCCTAATATTTTGTCGGTCCTCGTTTTGCCCGGCGAAGTGCAGCAACTCGACGTGGCATGGACTCAACAAGTCGTTGGAAGTCCCCTGCAGGAATATTGAGCCATGCTGCCTCTATAGACGTCCATAATTGTGAAAGTGTTGACGGTGCAGGATTTTAGGCACGAACTGACATCTCGATGATGATGTCCCATAAATGTTCGATGATGGGATTCATGTCGGGCGATCTAGGTGGCCAGATCATTCGCTGGAATTGTCCAGAATGTTCTTCTAATAATCGCGAACAATTGCGGCCCGGTGATATGGCGCATTGTCATCCATAAAAATCCCATCGTTTGTTTGACTACGTGAAGTCCATGAATGCTGTAAGTGATCTCCATGTAGCTGAATGTATCCATTTCCAGTCAATGATCGATTCAGTTGCACCAGAGGACCGAATCCATGCCATGTAAAACAGCCCAGACCATTATGGAACCACCACCAGCTTGAACAGTGCCTTGTTGACAACTTGGGCCCATGGCTTCGTGGGGTCTGCGCCACACTCGAACCCTACCATCAGCTCTTACCAACTGAAAATCAGACTCATGACCAGCCACGGTTTTCATTTGTTTTAGGGACCAACCGATATGCTCACGAGCCCACGGAGTCGCTGCAGGTGATGCCGTGCTGTCGGTAAAGGCACTCGAGTCGGTCTTCTGCTGGCATAGCCCAAGGAAGACAAATTTCGCCGCACTGTCCTATCAGGACACGTCCCTCGTACGCCCCACATTGATTTCTGCGGTTATTTGACGCAGTGTTGCTTGTCTGTGAACATTGACAACTCTACGCAGACGTTGCTGGTCTCGGTCGTAAGTGCAGGTGGTCGGCCACTGTGCTGTCATGGTGGGATGTTATGCCTGAAATTAGATACTCTCGACACACTCTTGACACTGGATCTAGGAATGTTTGAATTTTCTAACGACATCCGAAATGGAATGAACCCATGCGTCTAGCTCCAAATACCATTCCGCGTTCAAAGTCTGTTAATTCTCGTCGTGCGGCCATAATCACGTCAAAGCCTCTCACATGAATAACTTGAACACAAATGAAAGCCCTGCCAAAGCACTTCGCATTTATACATTTTCTACGCGATACTACTGCCATCTGTATATTTGCATATTGCTATCCCAGACTTTGTCACTTCAGTGTATTCTGACATCTAGATTATTCAGTTGGAACACAGTGGAATATCACTATCTACTTTCCCAAATAACGTCCTCCGCACTTCACGTCTCTTCCTTTGGTATGGAATGAACCAAGAATCTTCAGGCATATTTTGATTTCGGTACCTCAAGCGAGTGTATATAAAGATATATATATATATATATATATATATCCCCGTAAAGGAGCTACTTTTGCTATGCAAATTCAATTCCATTTCTGCTTTCATCAACATTGGTTTTTTTACAATCTCTCTTCCATTTTTTACGTATATACATTTCGTTGATTTAGAAATAAAATCCAAAGATATATGTAAATAAAAGTTTGAAATTCCTCTCTCGAATAAATCAAATCGAATGGACGGAATTAGATTTGTTCGGCACTTCTACGAAGAAAGATTTCTTTTTCAACCTGTGGATATGGTTCCAGAAACAGGAAAGTGTATAGAGGAACGACGAATCGATTTACATTTTTCTAAAAAAAAGTTGAATGATCCGTATCAGATTTTAGCGTACTTTCCATTTTTTTCATTCATGGATTTTTTGCATAAAAATGAATTTGAATTTAAGAAAATTAAACAGTCGTTGATATTTCAACCAGCCGACCTAATTCAAAATATAAATTCTGTGGCATAAAATGCTATAAACAACTATTCATAAGAGATATGCGGAACATTCACAGCTAAGTTAATAAGATCTCATGTACGTTTAAGATAAAGCTATGTAAAGCAATTCCGATACTACCTACTATGTTTTGAAAGGAGGTGCTTCAAAACTTTAGAATCTGAATTTTGGTTTTTGTTACATTTTGCTATAGCAGTTATGAGTCAATTGATCAAAGGTTTTGGTAAATATAAGCATTAAATATGTACATCGAAAGATTCACAATGAACTTCAGCGTTCAACACAAACTTTGATTTCAGTCTTAATCTAATCATGATGAATGTATCCCTGCGATTATACTTATGGAACGATGATAAATGATGACTACAGAGACCAACCAGTACTATAACCTAAGTTTCAGGGCGACTTTAGACAACGGTAAAACTTGAGGATAAACGCTTTAGTCGTTTAAGATTAATCAAAACAGCTATCATAGTATCACGTTCAAAACTCTATAATTAAATTTTATCCTCAGGCAGACAGTACTTAAGTGCTGTTCCTAAATTCAACAATTTGATCTAATCAATTCAAATTTATGCTCTGAAAGATGAAAATAGAAATTAAAATGTCTAATTACTACTGAACTAAATACTAAAGTTTCAAAGCATCCTAAAACGTATAATTAAGCAGAGTTTCCAAGCGGCTCCTGATACAGAAATTGCGCTTTGCGTTTGTTCGTTTTAGTGAAAATCTTGCATTTTTGGTAATCGAAAGACTTCTGAAGAGAAATTTTGTTCTTAAGACACCCTAAGAAAAATAACCATGTCATATTTCATTCAATGATTGCTTTAAACGTGGCCAATTTTTGGAGGATCGTGTTGAAACCAGGTGAAATTGCTTTGAAACGTTCTCTTCTTTTGAGTTCTATCTCAGTCAGAAGCCAGACTGAAGTTTAGACTTGAATTTAAAACATAGTGTTACCCTTTTTTGGGGCAAGCAACCACTAGCGAAGCCGATATCTAACCTGCTAAATAATTATTACTCAAAACCTATCTTCGAGCAAATATTCCTTGAATACAAATTTAATTGCGTGTTATGATTTTTTTTTTCAAGGTTTTTCAATGTTCTATTTGAGACAGAAGATACGTTCGATGAAATGCTGAAATGTCGATAAAATGCTGAAACTACCAAGAAATCCAACCTTTTACCTGTGTACCACGAGAATGGTTTGGCGTTCAAATCCACAGCTTAAAGTTATAGATTTACA